CCATGCAGCATTAATCAGCTACAGTGGCGTTCCCAAACACTGAACTCATTAACATAAAGATTTAGAGTCCAATAAAGCGTACAGCTGCTTTAATTAAAACTATGAGGGAAATAAACACACAATCAGAAACTGTTGAGCTGCATGAAGTTGGACATGAAACCTCAGAGGGATTTGACGGTTACTAAAGTACAGCTTGTTAATTCTCCGGGCTTTAATGACTCCACAGAAACCCCACACAGGTGCTTTACTGCCCCAGAGCGAGGGGTAAAAGCTTACAGTACAGATGTTTAAAAACTCCAGTTTGTGAGTTAATGAGGGATTCATGGCAGGATCCAACACAGGAAGCTTCAGTTAGTTTTGATGGATAATTTCTGATTTACTCAGCTGTTCTTTAAACCCAGTTGAATAAAGTTTTGGCTATTTATGATTAAAAATTCATTTTCAAAGCAGTAATACATTTATATACATGCTTTTATTTTGAAGTGGATTAATTTGTTTTTACGACAAACAAATAAATGAGGAATAGAGAATAAAACAAAGACATGAAAAAAACCAGGGCTGATAATAAAGCAAATACTTGATGTTTTTATTGACACATGGTTGAGATCATGGCCAAGGTTAGCAACATGGCCGCCGCTCTGATGCTAACGCAAGCTGACAAATGGAAACGCTGCGCCTGCGTTTCCTCTCTGACAAGTCGGACCAGAACCGGTCCTGCTGGCCTCACAGCCAGCCGGTTCGGCCAGATCCAGTCCGGTTCAACGGTCTGGTTCGGTCCAGTTCAGCCCGAGCTGATCTGGTCCAGTCTGGTCCGGTTTGGCCCGGTCCAGTCCGGTCCGGTTTGGCCTGGTCCAGTCTAGTTCGGTTTGGTCCAGTCCAGTCTGGTCCAGTTCGGTCCAGTCTGGTCCGGTCCGGTTTGGCCCGGTCCAGTCCGGTCCGGTTTGGCCTGGTCCAGGCTGGTCTGGCCCGGTCTGGTCCAGTCCGGTCCGGTTTGGCCCGGTCCAGTCTGGTCCGGTCCGGTTTGGCCTGGTCCAGTCCGGTCCGGTTTGGCCTGGTCCAGTCTGGTCTGGCCCGGTCCGGTCTGGTCCAGTCCGGTCCAGTCTGGCTATGTCTCAGGTCAAGGTCACGCCCTTCAGGCCATCCTGGAGGCCCGGCTGCCATGTTTCCGGGTCGGCCCGTTGGGATGCAGCCGCTCTGCTAACCTGGAAGTAATGTGTGACCTTTGAACCCGAGCCAAGTCCCAGCTGCTTCAGCTGGAGACTGTCAGTGTTTTCTGAACCAAATGATCTGACAGCTGAACTAACATGACATATTTAACAGCCAGTGCAGAAAAAACGTTTGTATAAATGCAATAATTAATATGAGATGAGTTTCTCTGCATAAACACTGAAATGCATGAAGCTCTGCAGAAGTTTGACTAAACCTTTGAGCTCATGTATTTCTGTTTGTGTAATTTTTATATTTAACTTCATGCCTGTGAATCCGCCCGAGCTGCATCTTAATTAATCCTGTGAATAATAATAAAATCTCTGTTTTTGCAGAATATTTCTGAGGCTCTTTCAAGAACAAAGCCAGTAATTCGAGCTGCATGCAGCTGTTATTCATTTTTATTTCAGACAGGTCAGACTGAACTGTCATTAACTGAAATCTTAACACGCTGCTTCATTAACCTCCATCGTTTCCACATGCAGAACTTTCTCTAATGAACACAATCAGTTCTGCTGGTTCTGCTCAAAATTATGACTTTATATAACCAGGTTGAAGTTTCATGATTTAGGTTCTTTCAGTTACATTAGTTAACAGTCTTCCATAATATTAAAGTTTCAGTAAGAATTGGTTCATAAAGTATTTAGTATGTTGTTGCATATTATGCAGCCCAACATATTTCAATAACCTGCAGCGTTCTCCATGTTCGCCTCCTTTCTGCTGGCTCTGTGTTGTGGATCCGTCTCTGCTGTCAGCTTGGGAACTTTGGCCGTGCGATCGATCAACATGCATAATTCATCGTGAGGGTTAAGAGCAGCTCGGCTTCTCCAGCCGCGGTTTGATTTTCCTCTCTGCCGCCTGCTGCTGCAGCGCCCAGCTGCTGCAGCGCCGATCCGCCAGCAGTGCCGAGCCGCCTGGCTCCACGCTCTGCTCTGACGCGTGTTTGGGTCGGGCGGTTCTGAAGCTCCTGCTGTTCTGCGGTTTTCCTTTAGTAACTTTAAACGTCCCAAACGGTTTGATTGGTCCGGTTACCATTCAGACTCTTCAGCTCCATGACGGTTTGGGATCCTGGGAGTTTTTATGGTCACAGCAGATCAGCTGAAGAGAAAAATAAATCAGGAGTTTAATCCAGTTTTAATCCTGAACTGTGGGACAATAAAGGATATTTCTAATCTGAATCACAAGCAGATCATTAAATATTCATCCAGTTTACAGGAACGATGGCATCTTTCCTGAGAGAAGGCGTCTGGATCAGAGTTTCTTGTCAGACGGAGGAGTTCGTCCTCTTAAAATTCATTTCTTCTTTCTGACTCCACAGGCTGATTTCATTCACGTCTGATTTGACAGAGATCATGTTCCTGCAACAATCCTTTCAGTAGCAAAGATACAAAACATGAAACAATATCTGAGCAGTTCAGTTCTGAGCGGATCAGAACAATAACTTCTGTTCTTTCTGAACTAAACTTCTTGCATTTATAACATTTCTTTGATTTATTAAATAAGTTTAATTGTAACACAATCACTTCTTAATCTTTTAAGTTCTGTCAGAATTTCTTACAAATGTTATTACTTAAAAAAAACACAAAATGCAACTTAAAATAGTGCAGGAACCAAACGGTCAGCTCAGCACTGCAATGATTTAACGCAAGTAAAAGTAAAAAATTGTTATTAAGAAAACAGCTGAAATGTTAATCTCTGATTTAATTTCTAAAAACCATCAAATTAGACAGAAATATAAGTTATGTGCAAATTTTGGCATTTTTAAGAATGAAAGTGAAAACTAAGCCAAATTAAACATTGGCAAATAGAAAAACACATTTATGAAATCACGTTTTGACACAAGTTTTGAAAGTCGTACTATTTTCTGTAAATGTGTTTCTTTGATATCTCCAAGGTTCTGGTGCCGGATTGTGATGCCATCCGGCTTTCGCTCCACTGATTTCCTGTTTAGAAATCAGCCACAGGGATCGGTTCGGTTCAGGTTCAGTTCAGGTTCGGGTTCAGGTTTGGGTTCAGTTCAGGTTCGGGTTCAGTTCAGGTTCAGGTTCAGATTCAGTTCAGGTTCAGTTCAGGTTCGGGTTCAGTTCAGGTTCGGGTTCAGTTCGGGTTCAGTTCAGGTTCAGGTTCAGTTCAGGTTCGGGTTCAGATTCAGTTCAGGTTCGGGTTCAGATTCAGTTCAGGTTCAGTTCAGGTTCGGGTTCAGATTCAGTTCAGGTTCGGGTTCAGTTCAGGTTCGGGTTCAGATTCAGTTCAGGTTCAGTTCAGGTTCGGGTTCAGTTCGGGTTCAGATTCAGTTCAGGTTCAGTTCAGGTTCGGGTTCAGTTCAGGTTCGGGTTCAGTTCAGGTTCAGTTCAGGTTCGGTTCAGTTCAGGTTCAGTTCAGGTTCGGGTTCAGTTCAGGTTCAGTTCAGGTTCGGGTTCAGATTCAGTTCAGGTTCAGTTCAGTTCAGGTTCAGTTCAGGTTCGGGTTCAGTTCAGTTCGGGTTCAGATTCAGTTCAGGTTCAGTTCAGGTTCGGGTTCAGTTCAGGTTCGGGTTCAGTTCAGGTTCAGTTCAGGTTCGGGTTCAGTTCAGGTTCAGTTCAGGTTCGGGTTCAGATTCAGTTCAGGTTCAGTTCAGGTTCGGGTTCAGTTCAGGTTCAGTTCAGGTTCGGGTTCAGTTCAGTTCGGGTTCAGATTCAGTTCAGGTTCAGTTCAGGTTCGGGTTCAGATTCAGTTCAGGTTCAGTTCAGGTTCGGGTTCAGTTCAGTTCAGGTTCAGTTCAGGTTCGGTTCAGTTCAGTTCAGGTTCAGTTCAGGTTCGGGTTCAGTTCAGGTTCGGGTTCAGATTCAGTTCAGGTTCAGTTCAGGTTCGGGTTCGGGTTTCCGCAGACCAAACTAATCGATCCAGATCCCGCCAGGCTGAGCGGAGCTCTCTGATTGGCTGTGTTGTTGCTCTTTCTGCTTCAGTGAGAACATGAAGGATCACCTGAGTTCTCTGGTCTCTGATTGGTCAGTGAGACGGTCCAGGTGTTGGGTCTGAACGGAGCGTCACGGCGCTGTAGAACCAGCTTTCTGTCGGCATTAATGACCTTAAAGTGGAGCTTCCTCCTGACCCGTTGATGATCCGGATTCCTGTCTCCTGAGCAAAACTTTAGCATGAAGGGAGAGCAGCGGTTTCATCAGGATGAAGGTCAGAGAGGAGCAGCTCTCTGCCGATTCCCCCAGTGGACGGGAAGCCTGCTGGGCCAACGTTCACACGGCGGCCTCAGCTTGTCTGTCCCTCGCTGCAGGTCAGCTGTTCACAACAAAGGGTCAGTTTGGATCAAGCAGAGCCGGTTCGTCTCCTCCTGCAGGTATATAATCCCTCTATGAATGGAGAAATCTGCAACAAGGTGGCATCAAAACTAAAAACCTCACAGTTTCATCGAACGCGATGTCTAAAATGTCTTAATATTCTGTACAAACTTTAAAAACAACATCTTTTTTGGTCTAGTTTATGGAGTAAATATCTTTTCACCCTTGAAATAAGACAAAAGTAACTCATAAGCAAGATTTTTTTCATTGTTTTCATCAATAATCAACGTTGATTTATTCAGTTAATATGTCAATGAATTTCTCTGTTATAACATGAGAAAAATGTCAATGGAGATAATCTGACAGTGGAGCCAAAGCTTCATCAATATTAAGGATTCATTCACATAAATCCTTCATTTCTTGCTTATTTCTGGTGACCAGTGGATATTTGGTGACGTTAACGTCGTCGGTACGAATGAAGCTTTGATGGATGACTGACATGCTGTGGATGTTTCTCCGCAGCGTGAAGATGGTTCTGCTCTGGACGGCGGGCGACGCCTTCAAGACGGCATACTTCGTGATGAACGAAAGCCCGGCCCAGTTCTGGGTGTGCGGTTCGGTCCAGATCCTGCTGGATGCCGCCATCTTGCTGCAGGTTCTGCTGTACGGCCGGGACAAACTGGGCTAAACTGGGCCGAACCAGGAAACTGGGAGCTGCTGCTCCAGAACCAGACCACATTTTATATGCTGGAAAACCAAAGAAAATGTTTTTAGTGCTTATTGAAACTAAAGACTCAAAACTTTCTCAAAAAAACTAAATATCGGCAATTTTCACTTTAAATGCATTTCTGGTTATTTTCTACTATTTATTGGAACTTTGAGGATCATAGAAGAAATCCTGGAGGGGAATGTCCAGCAGGATCCAGAGGATCCAGTGGAACCAGAGGATCAAGTGGATCCAGAGGATCCAGCAGGATCCAGTGGATCCAGCAGAATCCAGAGGATCCAGGGTGCGTTCCATCCATCTGACTGATGCTTGGTTCTGTTTGCTGTTCGGATCCGGTTCGGATCGGGTCAGAGTTCAGAGAATAATTCAGGGTTTTTATCACAATCTATTGAATATTTAACATTATTTCTAGATCCAGGATTTCTATATTTTTACTGGAATTAAACGTTCTTTAATATTTGTGGCACTAATATTTTTTCTGTTTTTCATATTTGTTGCAGTTTGAAACAGAATTTGGACAAAGTTCAGAGGATTCAGTCTGACTGAATCCTTTTTTATTTTTTCCAAAATAAACAAAAAGAAAGGAAATCAAAACATGTTTTGAGGAGAGTTGAGAAATTGCAACACAAAAATAGAAGTTTAGAGAATCTGAAACTAAAGTCTGAAACTAAAGTATGACTCTGATGCTGCCTTGCTATCAATAGTATTGATACTTTGGATGGATCAGCTCAGCTGTAGTTCTTGGTTTTATAAACCGTAGCTGTGAAGCAGCCGATCAGCTTCAAAAACCAAAGCAGTGGAAAATGTTCAGTCCTGCTTAAAATACATGTTTAGCATGTTTTCTATGTTTGTAGTTTTTCTGTCATATTTCAGTGAATATATTTGTTTGATGAATAACGCTGATGGTTTTCTAAAAAATTTAGATTTAAATAACTGAAGAGTTGAAGAAACCGAGACATTAATGTCATTTTCTCACCTTTGCTGTTTGTCTCCACAGTAACCACGCCGCTGTACATCAGGTAGATCTAGTTACCTAGATCTACATCTAGTTAACAAGATCTACATCTAGTTACCTAGATCTACATCTAGTTACTGAGATCTACATCTAGTTACCTAGATCTACATCTAGTTACCTAGATCTACATCTAGTTACCTAGATCTACATCTAGTTACTGAGATCTACATCTAGTTACCTAGATCTACATCTAGTTACCTAGATCTACATCTAGTTACCTAGATCTACATCCATCCAGCTGCACAAATATATTATTCATTATCAGAAGTTCAGCATGTTCGCCTGCAGCCTGATTTTCTAACATGTGAGATCATTTTTACATTTATCAACTGAAAAAAGAACAGATGAAAATGTAAAATGTGGTTAAAGTTTATATTTGATGGGTCAGATTAGGACACAAGTTTGATGAATTCGTCAAATTCGTCGTTGAACCTGTGAACCAAACGTCACGTTTTATTTTTCTCCTGATGAAAACAGTTAAATATTCAGGAGGAGAATAAAATGTTTAAAAAGACAATTTCCTGATATTTGCTCACATTTTCTTAAATGGTCAAATGAAGGTCAAGATAATTCAGTTTAAGTCACAAACTATTACAGTATAAATCAGATTTTACTGAACAAAGCAGAGAACAGAATTTCTTTCAAAAATAAAAACTCAAAATGTTCTTTTCCAAATTATTATGACAGCAGAATTTCTAAACATTTTATGGATTATAAAAATCTGCAAACCGTCGTCACATGTTCTAAACTTTTAAATCCCTTTTGTACATATTAAATGAACTCAAATTCAATGAGAAACAACAGACACACACATACACACACACAGACACAAACACACAGACACACACACAGACACACACGCACACAGACACACACACACACACACACACAGACACACACACACACACACGCATACACACACGCACACAGACACACACACACACAGACACACACACGCATACACACACGCACACACACGCATACACACACACACACAGACACACACAGACACACACACGCACACAGACACACACACACATACACACACAGACACAAACACACACAGACACACACACACAGACACACACACACAGACACACACACACATACACACACGCACACACACACACAGACACACACACATACACACACACACAGACACACACAGACACACACATACACACACACAGACACACACACATACACAGACACACATACACACCTACACACACATACACACACACACATACATACACACACACACAGACACACAGACACACACACACACAGACACATACACACAGACACACCTACACACACACACAGACACACACACAGACACACCTACACACAGACACACACACAGACACACCTACACACACACACAGACACACACACACACAGACACACACATACACACACACACAGACACACACACACACAGACACACATACACACACATACACACCTACACACACATACACACACACAGACACACACACAGACACACACACACAGACACACACATACACAGACACACATACACACACAGACACACCTACACACACAGACACACACACAGACACACACACACATACACACACACACACAGACACACACACACACACACACACACAGACACACACAGACACACACACAGACACACACAGACACATAGAAATGATGCAGGAGCTTTAACTAAATGCAGCATGAGGAAAATCTCTGCCTATTCTGTGATTAAAAAAGAATCTGTCGTCTTTTCTTGGCTAATGATCCAAAATAAAAATGAACCATGAAAATCAGGAATGAGCCATTTGGCCATCTGTGGGTTTCTGCCTGCAGATGGAAAAGGCCAATGAGAGCAGAGCTGGGCTCCACAGGGAGCAGTTGGTGAAGTAAAGACGACAGAGTCTGCAGCAGTAAACTGAGCTGTAATTACTGCATGAAATGTTCTCAGCTTTAGCTGTGATTTACTGCACGGCCTGTAACTGCAGCCAGACCCAGACGCCGTCAGAGGAGCCAACCATCAGGACCTTCATCCTGATGGTTGGGCCTCCTCTTCGCTCCACATGGAGCCGCGGAGCCTCCACACCATCTGCCTGCTAAACCCACTAAAAATACATCTACAAACACACAGACCAACATTTACACTGGAAACACCAACAACATTTCATCAGTTTGGCTTCAATTCCTTGGTAAGAATTACTAAATACCATAATGGATAACAAGAAATCTTTTAAATATATATTTTCCTATCAACCTAAAAGTTGTTGTTTGTAGTATGTATAAACTCATAATTAGTTCAAACATGGTAAATCTTCAGTTCCTTTCTCTCTTTTTGCATTGCATGCTGGGATGGTGAAGCGGTTTCAGTGGAGCGGAGGCGTAAACAAAACACAGGAAGTCAAAGCAGAGGAGGAAGAACAAGATGGCCGCCGCAACAAAACATCTGGGTGGAGAAACACAGCCTCAAAGTTTTCATTAGCTGTTCTAGACGAGAGATCTGTGGAACAAGCTAACGTCATCGGCAACTGTTCATTATATTAGCTGGAGCTAACACCATTAGCAGGAGCTAGCACAATTAGCAACAGCTAACACCAACAGCAGGAGCTAGCACAATGAGTGAAAGCTAAAACCATTAGCAGGAGCTAGCACAATTAGCTACAGCTAACACCATTAGCAGGAGCTAGCATAATTAGCTACAGCTAACACCATTAGCAAGAGCTAGCATAATTAGCTACAGCTAACACCATTAGCAGGAGCTAGCACAATTAGCTACAGCTAACACCATTAGCAGGAGCTAGCATAATTAGCTACAGCTAACACCATTAGCAGGAGCTAGCACAATTAGCTACAGCTAACACCATTAGCAGGAGCTAGCACAATTAGCTACAGCTAACACCGAAACTGGAGATCTTAGCAACATAAAAAACAAATGTTAAAATACAGAATTAAGGAAAATTTAAATCTGAACTTAATCTATGATCTCATGCCTTAAACTAATTATTTGTTGGTCGAACTGTTTCATGTTTTCTGTCCTGATTTGAAGTTGAAATTCTTCTTCATTTTGTTAGTTCTGGATCTGGAAACGTTGAGCCAGCAGCTTGCAATGGGATCACATGATTTATAATCCATTTTGACCCAAAACCAGTTAGTGCTTAATGGACCGACTTTAAAATCCCTTTTATATGTTTTATTTCTCTTACAGGGTTCCGTACTCCCTTTACATGATTTTTAGTCAATAAAAGTTGTGAAACGTCCTTTCAGGTGTTAAAGTGCGATGTGAGAGTGAAAGCTTCGCCTGGCTGCTTCATTTCCCTTAATTCAGAACCATCTGCCGGTTCTGGATTCTCACATGAAATGAATCTGACCTCTCTCTGCGCCTCGCCCTTCTGCTCTGCCCCACTATCAGCACTTTATTAAATCCTCAATAAAGGAGAGAAATGAAAGAAAAAGGACAGTGGGGGAGGACAGCCGTTTGAAACTGGGACGGATCCGTCGTCTGTCCAGCTTCACCTTTCAGGCCCAACAGAAACATTTCAGACGCATCTGGACTGTATTGATTTTACTGCCAGGTTGTATAAATGCAGCATCATTTAGTTTTGGAGAAACTTTATTTATTACAGCAGCTGAAGGACACCAGATATGCATTTCATCAACTTGCTGGCAACAGCAGAGGAAACGCAGACATTCGGATCAGAGGAAGAAAGTTTTTACATGTCAAACAGTTTAGAAATGATCTGTAAGCAGTTCAGCTTCTGGAAAAACCATCAGAGCCGCGGAGCAGGAAACCCAGAAAACAGCTCTGCTCCTGTTTCAGGGGAAACTAACGAATGCCGTAAAATGTTTCAGCCAGCAGCTTCAGAAGTGGAACTGAGATCCAGTTGGATCCAGCAGAACCTCAGCAGCCATTAAAAATCACAAGCAGGTTAAAACTTTACACCTCAGGATGATGCTTCCTCCACCATGCTTGACTGTTTTTGGATCAACCTCAGCATTTGTCTTTTTCTCCACACTAATCCGCTAGCAGCTAAAGCTAAAGCTACAGCTCTGTCTGGAGAGGCGGCGGCCTGCAGGTCCGGATCAGAACATTAACATCAGGCACATTTAGAAAAACCACAAGATCCAAATGCAAAACAGACCAACGTAATCCAAACATGGTCAGAATCCTGCCCTCCAGGAGTTTCTGGGCTTTCAAACGTCCCAATAATAATTACAATAACACTTTTCTCTGAAACTCCAACCGAGCCGAACCTGTCACCCAGAATCTCTGCCGGGTCGGCGCCAAACATGATCCAGGTCCATAAAACGCCGCTTTCACATCAAACTGAAACATTTCTGAAAATATCTTAAAGTTATAAATGATTTCATAACTCAAGTTTTAAACATTTGAAGTTCAAAGAAAACTGAAGATTTGACTAAAACCAAATTCATTGTAACATTTGGATCCGGTAAAAATGTATTAAATTTAATGAGTTAATTAGTGATAAAAGGAGAAACGTTTGTTGATTTAACAGAAAATTCTGCTTTATTTGATTTGGTGCAACTTTTACCACCAGAAGTTGCCTTCAGTGTTTGTTCAGGATCATTTATTAAGACCTTCATCTTCACTCAGGATGATGAAAAATATTGAAATATTTTAGCTTTTATTATTCATTTCGCAGAAATGTAACTCTAACTGTTTGTTAATAAAAGCTGTTGTTACATGTTTAAAGTGTGAGTGATATTTTCATGGTGAGGGTTTGGGTCAGTCGGCTGTGAGCAGCTTCGTCAGGACAAACCGAACTGCAGAGGCCATTTTCAGTCTCCATCAAACGAGACGCAGCGGTTTGTGGTTCAATCCGAGTTTTTGTTGAATCTGCTTGAGAAAAAAAACTTTGTTTAAAAAGGTTGAGCTTCTATAAATAGGAGGGAAGTTGCATATTGGTCAAACGATGAGATTATTATTAATAGAGACCCGGAGAGCAGGTGAACTATTTCCGTCCAGCTCATCCATCATTGACCAGGCCGCTGTTCGGCTGCCATGTTGGATGATCAGCTGACTGATGGACAGCAGAGAACCAGACCAGCAGTGGGTTTTCTGCAGATACACCGGCTGGTGAAGGAAAATAATGAAAGCTCCAGACTTTCCAATAAGTCATCAATAAACCACAGAGAGCCTCTCATGTCCCACTGTCACCAGTTTAACCAGTTTAACCAGCAGCTGCAGACTAAACTGTCACGTTTTTTCCATTTCCCTCTGGAGTCCAACAGAAGAACCGATTCAATGTTCAACATTGATTTTCAGCTTCTTTTGTTTAAATGAAGGTTTTCAGGTTTTCATCGATTTTTACCACCAAACACAGGGCGTTACCATGCCAACGGGATTAATCAAACGTCAACAAAACGGCGAAACTTTGAGCCAAATTATGAAGCCAACAAATAAACATCAGAATGTAAGTGATTTAAAGCTGAGATTCACGTCCCTCTTATCACAAACCGCCTGTTTCTTTCTGTCCCACAGAGGGCGAAAAAATGTATTTACACATGCATGCAACCCCTTTTAATCTGATACCCCTAAATAAAACCAAACCACAACCTTCCTGGAGGAAAACCTGCAGCAGAGCTGAGCCTGGGGTCAAAGTTCAGCGTCCAGCAGGACGACCAGCCTGAAACATGCAGCCTGAGACATTATGGGATGGTTTAGATCAGAACTGATCCATGGGTTAGAATGGCCTAGTCAAAGTCCAGACCTGAATCCAACTGAGATTCTGTGGAAGATTTAAAACCTGATGATCACTAAACCTCATTTTTCTCTAATTTTTAATTAAAATATTTTATTTGAAATGAGATAAAACTGACAAGTTTTCATTAAGGATCCAGTTTTACAGCAGAAAGACACAAGAGGCATTAAATTACCAACCTTTAACCAGGTGATAAAAATGTTTCTCAGTAATCCACATTTTCTGCTTTTAATTAAACCTTTAATTAACGCTTTAATTTGAAAGGCATTTCAGATGAAAGCGTTCCATGAATATCATCATTCATTTCAAATGTGGAGCAACTTGTTGTCAACAAATGCTAAGTTTGGTTAAATTAGTGGTGAATTTTCAGGCTAGGAAAATGAAAACTGCCTCATTTGCCCCCTGATGACTGAGTGAAGTTCCTGGTGTTCAGTGTTTGTGCTGTTTGTTGGTTTGAGCAGTAAAAGTTGTGCTTGTGCTGCTCTTGCTTTAAGATATTAGATCATTAATATGGTCAAAGCAGAACCTGAAGGTTTCTCTCTGGTTTTTCTCGCTGATCGGAGGTTTTCCTGATGCTCAGGGGAAATAATCTGACCGTCGCTGTTAAACAGCCCTGAGCTGCGACGTTTCTGATGGTTTGACTGAAACGGTTTCATTGATCAATCGATCGCGGCCATTCAGGATCCCCTTCCTCAAAGTCGATGGCTCCCGGTTTTCTTCCAGGTTTTAAGCATCTATTCCACGACCAGAAGATGTGATACTGGAAAGCAGCAACTGTCCAACTGCAAAACCATTTCTGCTCAGTTAAAGTTTTGGCCTGGCTTCATTTATTCCTGTCATTGTAAAACCAATCTGTGCTTCAGAAAGTGGTGAAAAGGCCTCAGTCTTCCTCCCGTCCTCCATCTTGTTTGCTTCCTGTTTGTGAGGCAGGTCAAGGCCGGACGAAGGGAACAGACCCAAACTGGTTCTGAGGAAACATTTGATCCCTTCCTCTGCTTCACGGCTCTTCGGATGGAAAGTCGGAGGCAGCGTCGTTTGATGACTCACCACGTTGCTCTTTTTGTTGGCGCCATGGAGGCGTTCAGCGAGGAGAAGGCACGCGAAGCTGGAGCCAAGCTGTTAATGATGAGGCTGTCGGGGGAAAGACACACTGTTGTCCCAGCGAGACAAAACCAACAAGCTGCTGCGATCGGCCTCATCCCGACCAGCTGGGAGCTTATGGAGGGTTTCATCACTTCCTGTTAGCGCAGCGGCGTCAGAACCCCAGACCGCCGGGCCAGTTAAAAGTGACCCTCATCATAACCGGCTGGTCAGACTGATCACCAGTGACTCTGCCAGGTTAAACTGGGCAGACTGGTTTGACCCTCTGTGACCCAGTCAGAGGGTCAAAGGTACAAACGCTTCCAGCACAAAACAAACAGGATGAAGCCATGAGAGAGAATTTAAACCAGTAAGAATCAAATGATTCAGGGACTGGATGCTGGTCAGAGTCCAATATCTGCTCTAATGTCCAGTTTATCGCGTTTCGGTTCAATTAAAATGATTAATCCAGTTGATTGCCGGGTCTGTAGTTAATCACAATCAAACTATATATTGATAAAATAAGCAACATTTTGAACTAAAAACTCCTTTTTGCTGCTGAATCATTCAAAAATGCTTTTCATCTGTTCTTCATATTCATCTGCAGAAATGTTGCTTTTGTTAGCTGCAAGCAGACTGTTGTAAGGATTGATTTGATATTTTCTCCCAGATCTGTTTAAAAGAAATCATGAAAAAACTCCCAGGCCTGGACTCCCTTGTTCTGTCGCCACCATGTCTGTGGCCTAGTCCAAGGAAACACCTGACTTTATTTTTTTTAATGTTTCACAGAATAGAGTATTTCTTTAATATGTTTGCTGATAGAAATGTGAGCAGTTTGCTTTTTGTGGTTCTCACAGCATCGTTTTCATCTTCCTGAACATGATGAGGAGAAACGGTTTTTATTACGTGTTAAATGTTATACAAGGACGACTAAAAGCCGTTTTCAACAACATGTTGAAACTAAACTAAACCTTTTCATATCATCACAAATACTCAGCAGTGACTCAGTTTATGCAAATGAATTCAGGTAAAATAATGTCTGAATTTCTCTCTGAAGCAACGGAAACAAGATGGACGCCGTGAAGAAGATGGACATGAAGCAGAAAAGAGGCGGTCCTGTGACCCTGACCTTCACATGAACTCAGCGTTAATGAGCAGATCGGGTTCTTCTTCCTGCCGGCTCCGGTCATCCGGACTCACCTGGAGCTCAGGTGCTGCTGCTGCCTGTAACAGGATGCTGAGAACCTGAGTGGCTGAGGATCCAGTTTCCTTCCTGCCAGCTGGCTGTTGTGCAGAAGAAACCTTCTGGACCCGATCAGAGCCGGATGGACTCTGAACCCAGATGATGACCCGATCAGAGCCGGATGGACTCTGAACCCAGATGATGACCCGATCAGAGCCGGATGGACTCTGAACCCAGATGATGACCCGGTCAGAGCCGGATGGATTCTGAACCCAGATGATGACCCGGTCAGAGCCGGATGGATTCTGAACCCAGATGATGACCCGGTCAGAGCCGGATGGACTCTCTGGTTTTTCATCATGTGGAAACCAAACCTGTTCCCACAATTTCTCTTTTGTTCTCTGACTTTTGCAGCAAATATTCATCTAAAACTAGATCTTTAAATCCATAAAAGACACCTTATTTATTAGCTTTTTGTCAGGAACAGACCCACAGTAACACAAACTGAATGGATCAGCAGAGCCGTGGTGTATTTTGGTGCTTAAAGGGATTAAACAGCAGAAACTGGACCAGCGCATAAACTCACTGGTTGCCATGATAACCTGCATTCATCCAGCTGATTTAGCATTAGCTAGCCTGTTGTCAGGGAGATGCAACTGTTTCTCACAGCATGGTGCCGAACCGACCCAAACACTGAAATGGCCCAAAGTCAGTAGCTGGACGTTACTAGCAACAATGAAGCTAATGTTGCTCTGTAATGCTAACAAAAGGTTTGCTAGCTGAATTTGGCATGTTGACTTCCTGTCTCCTCCAAACAGGTTTATTAAATGTTAAGTTTCATACACTTAAAAAACAATCTAAATTCAAGTGTTTTTAAATCATTTTCAAGTACATGTTTTCAAACGTTTGCAACGCCGCACTTTGCAGATAAAAATGAACTGAAATAATCACATGTATCTTAAGCAGTGATCTGGGCTTTCCCAGCTCGACGTTTGACTGTTTTAACTTTTCATCTCCTTGTCATTTTTTACGTTTTCTCGTGTGAACGGTCGATCAGTAAAAGCTTTACGGGCGTCTGACTGGTCAGTGGTATTCTGCAGTTGATGACATCACAGACTGCGTCACCTGTGACATCACAGAAACGCCCTTTGCTGGTGCTGTGACATCATTCCGCCACCAAATATCTTTATTGTTGTTTACATTAAAAATAGTCCATGATTTATTGTTTTATTCTGTATATCAGGGACATCAAACTCCTTTTCATAAAGGGCCGGATCGAAAAAGAGAGCAGGAAAGAAAATGGATAATAAATAGACATAAACATGAAAAAGTAAAAGATAAAAACTATTGATTTGTGTGTGTGTGTACGTGTGTGTGTGTGTGTGTGTGTGTGTACGTGTGTGTGTGTACGTGTGTGTGTGTGTGTACGCGTGTGTGTGCGTGTGTGTGTGCGTGTGTGTGTGTACATGTGTGTGTACGTGTGTGTGAGTGTGTGTGTGTACGTGTGTGTGTGTGCGTGTGTGTGTACGTGTGTGTGTGTGTGTACGTATGTGTGTGTACGTGTGTGTGTGTATACGTGTGTGTGTGTGTGTGTACGTGTGTGTGTGTTTGTGTACGTATGTGTGTGTGTGTGTACGTGTGTGTGTGTGTGTGTGTGTACGTGTGTGTGCGTGTGTGTGTGTGTGTACGTGTGTGTGTGTTTGTGTACGTGTGTGTGTGTGTACATGT